CCGAAACTTGGGAAGAGGAGAAGATGATGATGACGCTGATTCACACGTGCGAATAGAATCACTCGTGTCATTTTTATTTTTTTTCCCTCTTTTATTGATTTCGTTACGAATGCTGGAAAGATATTTTTATACATTCAAAAATAATAACGTTTTTCATTTTTTGGTCACATAATAAGTCATTTTTCCCTCTGTATTGTCTAGCTTCTACCTTAGTGTTTTCCGAAGACTGTTGTTTAAATGTTTATTTCTTTTGAATTCGGTGACATTTTTTTGTTCACCGACTTATGTTGTAGGACTTGTGCATTTTTCCCTCTGAAATTGAATTGCCAGAAATCCAAAGTTTAAACTTTGAAAGAAAGCATAAATTTGTAATAATGTAGGAATTGTAATTTTTGGATTGTCTTTCTAATCAAGGAAAATGTGATTTGAGTGTACATTTTTAAATATATGATAGACGTACTAACTAAAAAATCCTACATTTGTTATTTGATTTTTGGAAGGAACAAACAAAAAAAATAAAAAAATAGAGAGGAAACTTGTCCCAATCGATTATTGGGCCATAGCGAAGGCCCATTTATTTTAACGCCCACATTTATTATTGTTCTTCCTTCCTTGTTCTTCAAAATTGTATCGCGCTCTAAGATCACTAGCAAGAATCGAGTCGAGAAGGAAGAAAGACGAAAACTCTAGGAAGAAGAAGCGAAACATTGAGAGCTGTAGAAGAGGTACACGGACAGAAACAACCTCGGGAGGCATAAATCTCCCAACTGGAGGCCCAATCTTAGCCAATGGACATGTATGAGGTATGTGCATTGCTTGCGCGCTATTGAAGAGTTCGTTAATTATAGGCAGATTTATCGGCACACTGCTCCCAACTTGTATTTTGTGGCTCAAAGTATGAGAAAGCTGCAAATATAAACCACTCTGTGAAGGCATCCACAAGGCATATTCCTCGAGGCAAAGAGTTTTACCGAGCTCGACAAGAGTTGTTCTTAGTATAGTATGCCTATCATCAACAATTTGTTCACAATTATATGATTGTACAAAAATTTTCGAATGTAAGGTTATTAAAGTCGACTTACCGAGCCATTGAATTTATTCTTCAGTGTGAACGGAGATTGATCGTTACAATTCTATTGAAACAAGTATATGATATTTTTAATTAAGTAATCTAGACAATTTAACTAGGTGATCATTTTCAAACTGAGATTGAAACAAGTATATGATATTTCTCTTTTGTACTGTCATTCTAATCAATACTAAGAAGTGGACTAATCGTGAATTAATTATGCTACGGTTAAAAAAAACCTCAATTTTATAATGGGTGCTTTACTAAAACAATCTTACAAAGTTGATTTTTGACTAAAACAACCCTAATCTTTGAAAATTACTCAAACAACTTTGAAAACTATTAATACCCGTTTTAGCCTTATTTCCTTTGAAGAGAAAAAACGTATTTACGAGACTGCCATTAATGAGGCAGCAAAATTTTCCCGCCAAAAGCGAATAAGTTTACCGTTCATGGGATAGTAGATTTATTTACGAGTGGTAGATTTATTAAGTGGTTGGTAGACTTATTGATGGTTGGCGCGATGGTAGACTTATTTTTAGTAGTGGTAGATTTATAATATTGTGGTAGACTTATTTGTAGTTGTGGTAGAGTTAATTTGGTGATCGGTAGACTTATTTCTTGTGGTGGTAGAGTTACGTTTGTGATCGGTAGACTTATTGGTGGTTCGCACTATGGTAGACTTATTTACAGTAGTGGTAGATTTATTTTGGAGTGATATACTTATTAGCAGTAGTGGTAGAGTTAATTTTATGATCGGTAGACTTATTGATGGTCAGCGCAGTGGTAGACTTATTTCTAGTGGTGGTAGATTTATAAAATGTGGTAGACTTATTTGTAGTAGTGGTAGACTTAATTTTGCGATCGGTAGACTTATTTCTAGTGGTCGTAGAGTTAATTTTGTGATCGGTAGATTTATTGATGGTTCGCGCAGTTGTAAATTTATTTATAGTAGTGGTAGATTTATTTTTGAGTGATAGACTTATTAGTAGTAGTGGTAGAGTTAATTTTGTGATCGGTAGACTTACTGATGGTTCGCGCTATGGTAGACTTATTTATAGTGGTGGTAGATTTATAAAATGTGGTAGATTTATTTGTAGTAGTGGTAGAGTTAATTTTGTGATCGGTAGACTTATTTCTAGCGGTGGTAGAGTTAATTTGTAATTGGTAGACTTATTGATGGTTCGCGCAGTCGTAGATTTATTTATAGTAGTGGTAGATTTATTTTTTGAGTGATAGACTTATTAGTAGTAGTGGTAGAGTTAATTTTGTGATCGGTAGACTTATTGATGGTTCGCGCAATGTTAGATTTATTTATAGTGGTGATAGATTTATAAAATGTGGTAGACTTATTTATTGTAATGGTAGATTTATTCAATCTTTTCACTTTTTATTAAAACAACCTTAGATTTGTTTATAGTAGTGGTAGATTTATTTATAGTAGTAGTAGATTTATAATATGTGGTAGATTTATTTATAGTTGTGGTAGTGGTAGATTTATAATATGTGGTAGACTTATTTATAGTAGTGGTAGACTTATTTATAGTAGTGGTAGATTTATTCAATAAAAGATAAAATCGTAATTTACCTTTCATCTTCTCCACACAACACCAAGTTTCTCTCAAACCCTAAAAATGGCGGCCATCCATTTTTTAGCTCGTTTTTACTGTATTTTAACTCATTTTCAACTAGATTTTGCGTAAAACTAGTAGATCTTACATTATATATCTCTTTTCTAACAAAATATCAAAAGATTTTGAGCACCTCCGTCGAGTACGATCCGGTGCTTCTGCAACCTCCTCGTCTGCGGTTTCAAACAAAAGTTTGAATTTCTTTTTTTTTTATAAATTACGAATAACATTTTCATAATAAAAACTTGTTATTAAAATTTATTTGTTTTTTACAAACTTGAGAAAGAATTGTTCTAGTAATTAATCTACTTTCTAAAACTTGTTTCTAAAGTTGTTTTAATAATTAATTCTTTTATAATTACGAAAAGGTATCAAAAACTTTATCGAAATTATTGTATTTCTTTTTTTCTGTTTTTTTGTACCGTTTCTCGTGGAATTTAATATAAAAAAAAATCGATAAGCAATATTTTTTGGGCGTATCGATAAGCAATATAAAAGTCGGCATCAATAGAAGTAAGAACTAAAAAAAAAAAGTAAGAATTTTTAGATGAGTTTCTCATCAACAAAAAATATTTAAAATAACGAAAAAATATGTAAGAGATGAAGAAGAGATTGAGATTCTCAAATGAAAAACTCTTTAACACATCAATCTCTTTGCCGACGCGAGTCCGGCTTTTGTTTTATTTCCGTTTAATCGGATAAATAATTTCAGCTACATCCGGATTTGTTTCTTTTCCGTCATAGAACGGATGTTGTTGTTTAGTTTGCTTTTGTATCCTTCTTCTTCGTGCTTTAGACCATCTTTATCCATGAACTTTTGAGGGTATCATTAAATATAAAATTATTAAAAACACTCTCTTTTCTTTTTACTTAATTTTATACCTTCTCTTTCATCCTTTTACTCAATTTTTATTAATTTTATACTCTTTTTAAATATAAAATTATTAAAAACACACTTTTTCTCTCTTCAAAAGTATCAACTATTTGATACTTTTGATATTCTCTCTCCAAAAATATCCACTATCTCTTTTCTTTACTCAAATTTATTAATTTTATATTTCAATACACCCCATTATTTTAACCAAAAACATTCTTTTTTTTTTTATTCAAATTTTAATAATTTTATATTTAATGATATCCAATAAAGATGGTGTTATGTTTATTCCGTTTGTTTCTTGTCTCGGTTCTATTACCACGTACCGTGTGCATGATGCTCTTTTACCGGAGAATAAATCTCCGTCTCCCATAATTGGGCTTTGGAAGGTTTGGGCGGAGTCTCTCAAAGGGATCCAGTGTTGTGAGTTTGGAATTTTCGACGAGATCAGAAGCAAAATTAGGTCGGCATGTTATGCCTAGGTTTTGTCTTCTCCTTGTTCGGGCTTTCCGGGGTTAATTTGATTCGGTGGTTTAGTTTTCCGTTCAAGTTACAATGGTAGTATAAAGATGTTGGGATCTATATGGGTGATACAATTGACGCATCATGTTGGAAAAGGGGATTTTGAAGCTTTACTCGAGAAGGCATCCACTGGTTTCCGGTGACGGCGATGATGCTTCCCGGCGGTCCAAGGTCTTCCTTACAATGCCACGTGGGGGCTTGTTTGTAGGTCTAGAGAACACGTGTTTTTTAGTTGAACATATCTTGTAATTGTCTTCTGTCTATGTGTCACTCTTAGCCCATTTGGACTTCAATGCAAAATTAAAATTTTTGTTTGTGAGACTTATTTAATACATGTCTTTTTGTGATTGTTTTTAGGTCTAGGGAAATCCTAGCCGCCGGAGATCCGACAAAGTCGCGAATCGAAAGAGACAACGCAGAGATCGATATGGTCTTTTTACAATGCGATGACGCAACAACGCGACCTACCCTAACATGTGAAGGTTTGGTTTGCATCCCTGTCCCAGATTATGTCAATGTGTTGAACCCTACGACCGGAGAATTCCTTAGCTTCCCTTCCGGTCCAATTCACCACCATGACCACGAAATCGTACCCAAAAGTAAGTC